ATATTAAAATAAATCAGCAAAGCAGAAGACAGTATACAATTAATGAAAGAGATGGTTTGCATCACTAGACTGAAGACTGGCCTGTACATTGTATTATTTACACCCATGAATTCTTAGTGAATTGTTGTAAGATTAGTTGAATGGTATTGTGGAGCAAGAGGATTGTCTCAGCAGTACAAAAAAATAAAGTTACGTCCTCCAAAATTCAGCCATGTGTGTTGCATAGTTCAAATGGCTATTTTAGGCATGTACATTCGTATATCTTACACCTAATCGTTTCATCCTCTTTTCCATTGTTCTATTTAAATATTGCAATTCTATTCAGTGTTCTACCTTTATTTGAACTAAAATGTAGAGAGTTGTACTATGATCTCCATAAATTACATTTTTAGACTTTTTTTTAGTTGACATTCTTGGACTTTCCTTTCTTTGCTTATTACTTTAGAGTTTGAAATGACACAAAATCATAATATAGAGAATCTTACAGGTTTTTCAGTCTCTGCTCTGATAAGTTATTAGCCTCATGTTTGCATTTCACTGCATATCAACAGACATGCTCAATAACACGAAAATACTTCAACCACTAAAATATAACAATGTGATGTACTATAATTAGATGCACATGTAGTTTATCTCCTACCTAAGAAGACCGAATTTAAGGGTAGTACAGCCGATTGCATTAACAGATAATTGGCATTGTTTGAAATTTAAAGCTCACTCATAGGCCCAAGAATTTCAGATGCATGATTTTTCAGTATAACATCACATCATTTTGGTAAGGCTCATGGATATGCTGTTGAAGGGCACTGCAGTATAATATCAACCAAAAACACGACTGGAGTTCAATGAGTTTCATCTGAATAAATATGTCAAAAAATTAATTCCTATGAAGATACAATTGGCTTGTCATTTGTCACAAATTAAAATACAAACAGCACATTAATTGTATCTGTTGCTTGTAAGATATACCACCAATATATAATGTTAATTAATGCATTTTTACTAAACTTATCTGCCTATCACTTGCTTTTGCTTAGACAGCTGCATGAGCACAGGCTATGAAAATGATATTTAACCTTTACTGGAAACTAAATATGCACCTTGCTTATTCATCATTCCTTTAGCAAAAAAAAAAAAAAAAAATCAGTAAGAAGCTTAAGTGGGACTACTTGGTCTTTAAGAAAATGTGTCCTACACAAGGAAGCTGCACATATTTCTTATTGTTATTTGCATATGCTACATTCAACTGCACTAAGAAAAATAAAAGATAATAAAACAAATGAAATGAGAGATATATCACCCAAAATAATTCAAGTGTGAGATAGGCTTCCTCTTTTTTTGGCACTGGCAAAACAGCACAAAGTAAGAGCTGGCCCTGAGTCATATTGATTTCCCACTGCACTGGTTTCCTAAGTGCTCTATTGATCCGTGTCAAGCAATAAGTTCCCTGCCTATACATGCACATCACCTCCCCATTTGTCCTCACCTAGATTTAAGGTGCCCATATGATGAGCAGAACAAGGACATTATTTTTCCTACTGGTGACAACCAGCCAGAACTGCTGCATGTGGTACAATTTAGCTATGTGAGTATGCATTTCAACATATGATGTTTAATAGTGCCACATACCACAAAGCAATTCATTTTATGGCATTAATGCTTCATTTTTTTCTAGTACCTCTGTAACCTTAGGGAAAACATATCAGAAAACGGACTGTCTCCTTTTTCTCCCCTTCATAGTTACAACTTATCCACAACAGTTTTTAAAGGAATGTTGCTCTTTCAACAAAGGGATTCCTGATTCAGTGGATGGAAAATGTTTGATTGTGCTGCTAATGACATTGTATAGGAAATTAAGCATATACATTTGGAGGAGGCATTAAATCAGCAGGACCTTAATTTAAAAACTGAAAACTATATGGAATACAGCATGCATATTGCTGTGTGAGAGAAAGCTATTGAATAGTTTGAAGTTTTGATATGGAAATGTTGCCTACAGACTGAATCTTGGCATTATATGATTATAGAGCACTCTCTAACTATTGCATTTTATGAAACATTTCTATTTTGTAGAGTACTGTTTATATACAATATTTACTGTAATTTTTTGTTAGCAAGCTAAACTTTGTCCAGAGTGGATGTTAAGACTGCCTCAATCCAAAATCTAATTGATAATGCTATTGAGACTGGCTGTGCATGCTAATGAGACCTTCTGCATGCTTTAGGAAGCTATGGTGGCAGATCATCCAAATAACAGAATGCCAGAAACTGTTACAAACTTCTCTGAGCTCTTTTGTTTTGAAATATCAATTATGCTGGAGTTTTCCAAGGCTGCTAAATTTCTTTCAGTTGCAAATGCAGAACAAAATGTTTTGATCAGGAGGACTTCCGGTTTGAGCTTCTTCAGCGACAGACCGAAACCTTGTCTCTGTGAGGCTTCGATCCATGCGCGCCACTGGAGCACCCCGAGCCGGTTGGTTTCGGGGCTAAGCCACCCCGTAGAGGTGGTGAAGAGGGGGGAGACTGCCTGCAGGGTTGAGGAGAGCCGCATCTCTCCTCCCCAGCTGGCCATTACTTCCTTTCCCAAAGGCAGTTGCAGCGGTGGTCAGAAATGGCCACCACAAAGAAGAACTCGACCGGAAAAGAATGTGCAGGAGGAAGATAAGAAGAGAAAGTTTTGGTTGACCGGGTCAAACAGCAAAAGCAACAAATAAGGTACCCTGGAATTGAAACTATTAAAAAAAACCAATAACATTGTTCCCTAAGAAGATTTTTAAGCTGCGAAGGAGAGAGAAAAGGGAAAAGATTTGGTTTTCTCCTTTTCCTATACTGACAGCTAAGAGACTTAAGCAAGAAATTGGGAAAAAATCCACTTTGACATCAATAGGTATTTAATGCTGAAAATAAAAAGTCAAAGGGATAATAAAGATTTCTGGATAATTAAAAGCTTTTGAAAACAGGAAAGGAGAGAAAAAGAATAAAAGGGTAGGATCTGGAAGGGAGGAGACTGCCTGGAATTAAAAAAGAACTTACAGCAAAATCTCAACAAGACTTCCAAAAGATACATTCTAACTGAAATATCGCAACAAAAACCCCAGGAAGAGAAAGTCAAAAAAGAAATAAGAAGATATAACTCGGGACTATCTGGATTACTTGATGATTTCTGGATTCTTGGTTATTGTTTTGAATGACTAAAATCAATCGGGTGGTTGTTCAAAACTGTTTAAAATGGCTCCACTTTTAGAAGAACTGAAAGTGGAACTTAAAAAGTACAAAGAAGATGCACAAGAAGGGAGAGGTTCTTTTGGCTTCGTATTTCAGTTTTTAGAAATGGAGATTTGGAATTATGAGAAACAACAAGAAATGCCTGCAGAACAAGAAGATTGCGACAAAGAAGAAGCCATCTTTAATTAACAAGTAATCTTAGATGGAGGGAAAAAAGGAAAGGGGGGAAAGAGAATCAAAAGTTTAAGATTGGGAAAAACAACTCCAAAAAAAATAGAGTGAAAAATAAGTATAAAATCAGAAAGCAACAGAAGAGGGAAATGCAGAAGAGAGAATTAGAACTAGAGAGACAAGGGGGTAAAAAGGGGAGGGAGAAGATGAGAGGGAAGAAAGAAAGGAAAAGAAGTTATAAAGGACAGAAGCAAAATATAGAGAAACAGGGCCTATTTAGAGATAATGGGTGAAAACTTAATGGAAAAAGGGATTCTGCAAAGGTACATAAGATAGTATGGTTATATTAGAAGCAGAAATAATTTTAGAAAATATGAAACAATGTATGATTAAAATGTCTGATAAAATAGCTATCGTAATTCAGTGGAATGCTTGTCAATAAATAAATGTAACAAAAGGTATATTTAATGATTTATAAAACATATGTGAAGAGAAATAAGGGAAAAAATAATTATGGAGATTATATGTGTTTTTAAGGAAGTATGATATTTAATTGAAAAGAAGTGTTAAAGATGTTAAGATTTTAATGATTATTAATAATAGAACTGAACTGGAATGGAAAAAGGCTTTATAATTACATATAATTACAATCTTTCTTTTTTTCTTAAAGAATATAGTGTGTATTATAAGAATGTGCCAAGCAGAATTCGATTGGAAGTTATGTATTATGTATTATATTGAAGGTCATAAACTTAAGGTATATATTGAAGTTTAAATAAGAGTTGAATGGATGTAATTAAAAGATATAAAGGTGTCATACTCCAATTAGTAACTACAGGAGAAAATTTGTTTAATGAGAAAAGATAATATGAAATTGAAACAGAACAGACAAAAGTATAAATATAATGATTTGAATTGAGATGAGATAATCAAAATAAAATTGAGAAAATTAAAAGAGGGGAAAAACTATATAGAAAATGTAAAATAGTATAAGATATGGAATAGAATACAAAAAGGAGCATGAAATTGAGTTTTGTGTCTGTATAAAGAAATTCAACCCGGGACCATGCTATTTTCAAAAAAGATATTTTATTTGTATTTTGTATGTGTGAAAACCGAAATAAAACTTTATTGAAAAAAAATATGTTTTGATCAGAACAGTAAGCAGATATGACAATGCCACTGACCATCTAAACAGGTTATAAGGATTGATTCACAGCAGGTTTTAGATCACTGAGCGCATTTACTGGGACTAAAACATTAAAGTCTAAATTTGAAGGCAAATATAGGTCTCACAGGATAATGTTGCAGGATCCAATCTGGGTCAGTCACTGGGACAGAAGTTTTTTCTTCCGAGCTTTCGGACTCATGCTGGAGCCCATCTCAGGGAACTTTACTCCAACAGCACACACTTTGCCAGAGAGAAGTTCGCTGAAGATGAGCTCCAGCATGAGTCCAGAAGCTCGGAAGATAAAACCTCTGGTCCTGGTGACTGACCCAGATTGGATTCTAAATTTGAACTTCCCTGAAATCATCAGAATAACCATACTATTACACCAACTGTTGAAATGTACCTTAATAAAATATATCTACTTTATTCACAGTTATGCCATACAATAGTGCCCATCACTGTGTTGTGGAAGTAGAAAATTTCTTGTTCGTTCTGGGAGGAGAAGATCAGTGGAATCCTAATGGTACGTATGCAATAATTAGTTGAACTATGAAGAAATACATAAATAACATCCTCCACACAAATAACTAATAGGTAGGAAATCCATGAACTGCTACTTATACATGAAATAGCAGTATGGTAATTTTCCTTAATTTTTATAAGTTGATTTGCCCCATCTCACGCTCTAATCTCATCTGATCAGATCAGAAGAGCAGATTATTTAATGTTAGCTTGTTTGCTAAAAAAAATCAGAAAACACTGAAGGAAATATTAGGAATCTAGAAGCAATCTTGAGCAACTTTCTTGGGCTTCAGATTATATACCAATGATTTAGGCTGCGATTTAAAATTCATTTATGGCAATAAAGTCTCATCTTTGAATCATTGATTGTCCAACATTACACAGTTGTAGAAGAACAAATTAGAACACAGAGTTCTAATTATCAAATTACAACACAAATTTTTTAGGCCTATTAAAACATTAAGGTGTATGTTTCAAAATCTACGCATGTATAAAGAGAGGATCCACAACACAAGCATTTTTATAGATCCAGTTGCAGTTACTGCAGAAACATATGCATAAATTCTACACATTTAAAGCCAAATATATATGCCAATATGAAGCTTGAAAGTGTTGTATTAGAAGGATAATCTCTTAAAATAGCTATGTAAACTACTACATGGACATATATGTCTAACGAAAGAAATTAAAGCAACAAGCTTCTGTACTCCAAATCACTTTTTTAATTCAACAATCAAACCCTTCCGCTTTAGCAGAATACTTCTTTCTACCTTATGATGGGAGAATAGAAAGTGGAAACTAATTTCATGAGTTGCCCCTCTAATTACAGTTACATCACTGATTTGGGATTTCAGTATTTCTGGTATTCACTCATAATCTCTAAAATGTTTGAATAGTTATTCCTTAATTAAGACATTTGGTGAGAATTGTTTAAAATTGTACCAATGTTTTTGTGTACCTTTATATTTCTTGTGTTTCCATTACTCACTTTTTTTTCTAGTGCCAATCTGATATGATCATGTAAAATTCTCAAATGGCTTCAGATTTTTCTGGTACTCCTGTATCTCTAGTCTTATCAGTGATTTACATAATGATTATGGTAAGGGCTTTTTAACGAGATTACTTTATAAGTTTTCTGTGGAGAGAAATGAAATCATTTAACAGGCTTCTGAACAAAGCAAAAGAACAATATGCCTTGCAAAATTTAGAATATTGTCAAGACATTATTGAAAGGCTCGTACATAAAGGCAGAGTTGCAGCTGTAGCAGTCTGTGTAACATAGATAATTATGACTTAGAAAGTATAAAACAGCTTGCAGGTACACATTTCCACTTCAAAATGCCAGAAGATCCAGCTGAAATTACATATACTGCATATATTTTATTTGAAAAGCCCATTGCAGCATCTGTGCTAAACCAAACTGTATCAAAGCATTACATCTGTTCATTTCTTTATAAACTAAGCTAAGCAATCTTCTCTAATAGCATTATTTCAATAGAGTTTTAAAAATTATTTATTTAAGTCAGTGATCTGGAAAAAATAACTTTTGCAGTCTGTTCTTAACAAGCTATTCTAAAAAAAGATTACAGATAATTTATTTATAGAAGTATATGCTATAGAGCTTACCTGAAGGTTGATGTTATTGAATTTCTTTAACCAAAAAAATGTGCAAACACCTACATTAGACTACTTGGATGGTAGGTCTCCCCAACTGCTACACTAAATTCAGAAGGATAATTTCTGAGTTATTTCACTCAAATTGAAATTGTTGGTTTTGTTTTTGGCCAGTTTGTTTGTTTAGCCGTTTGTTTGTTTGTTTAGTCATCTCAAGTACATAACTAGGAGACTCATAACATTAGAACCAAAATATATTAGAACCAAAATATTAAACTCAATCAAGAAATAAAATGCACAATACTCCGAGAATCATAGAATCATGACCACGAAATGTGCTCCATTTCACATACAGGACTCCAGGATCAGCCACCGAATCAGAGCCTTCCAAAGGGCCAACAGATTGGAGGCCAACCTAATTTCAGGAAGGGTGATGTTCCAGAAGATGGGCACCACAGCAGAAAAGGCTTTTTTTTCCCTAGGGGGCTCAGCCAACACTTCTTAATTGATGGAATGCCTCACTTGCTAGATTTGACAAGATGGGTAAAAACAGTCAGTTTGAAATGGTCCCATAAGTAATCCAGGCCCAAGCCATATAGGGCAATGATGACTAACTTTTTCAGCACTGAGTGCGCATAGCCCGTTCACACACACGCATCCCAAAATGCAATATGCATGCACCCCCCATGCATGCACTTTGCCCCTATGCATGTGCACATGTCCCCTGCACATGCGCCATCGTGCATGCATGTGCATCCCGTGCATGTGCCCTGCCCCACGCATATCCCCCACGCATGCGTGGCAGAGACCCAAAGACCAGCTGAGAGGCGTATGCACACATGCACAGCAGAGCAGAGCTAGGGCGACGGCTCACATGCCCATAGAGAAAGCTCTGCGTGCCACCTCTGGCATGCGTGCCATAGGTTCACCATCATGGATGTAGGGTTTTTAAAGGTAATTACCAGAATGTTGAATTGCATCTGGAAGCAAACTGATAATGGTGATGTGGTGGTGTTACATGCTCCATATAGCTAGTACAGTTAGTCCTCGACTTACAATCACAATTGAGCCCAAAATTTATGTTGCTAAATGAAACATACGTTAAGAGAGTTTTGCCCCATTTTACAACTTTTCTTGTCACAGTTGTTATGTAAATCATTGCATTGATTAAATTAGTAACGTGGTTGTTAAGTGAATCTGGATTCCACATTGACTGGGATTGTCAGAAGTTTGCAAAAGCTGATCACATGGCCCCAGGACACTGCAACCACCCTTAGTACGAACCACTTGCCAAGCATCTGAATTTTGATCGCACAACCATGGAGATGCTGCAACGGTCATAAGTGGGAAAAGTGGGGGAAAAGTCCTTTTTTCAGTGCCGTTGAACTTTGAATGGTGACTAAATGAACTGTCAAGGACTACCTGTACCACTAATTACCTGTGCTGCCATATGTTGCCTCAACTGAAGTTTATGAATGCTTTTCTTAGGCAGCCCCAGGCACAGCACATAACAGTCATCCAAATGGGAGGTGACAAGGAACATGAGTGATCATGACATCCTGATCTCTGAATGGGCACAACTGATACATAACATGAAGACATACAAAGGCCCTCCTATCCATAACTCCCACTGGGTCTTTGAGCAGGAGCCAAGGGTCTGGGAAGACCCCAAATTGCTCACTGCTTCTACCTGAGACAGTGTCACCACATCCAGAAATAACAATGGAAGGATCCCAGAATAGGAAGTCCCCAAAACCACACAATTTTATACGGGTTGAGTTGAAGCCTGTCGTGCCTCTTCAGCCTGTTGTGCACAGCCTTCAGGCACTAAGATAAGACTTCTGTTGTATCATCAAAATGGCCTGGGGTAGAGATAAAAAAGCTGGGCATTAGCAGCAGATTCACCCAAACTGTTAAAACACCTTTCTGGCAGCTTCATGAAGATGTTAAACAAGAATAAAATAAATAAATAAGAGGAGGGGAGAACATACCAAGCCTTGGAGCACATTACATAAGAGTAGATGAAATTACGATGGAGAAATACTTTATTGATTTTTCTTCTCAAACTCCAGAAATGGATTTGGAAGATCAAAAAACTGTTTCTCCCAGCTTTTAATCTTGATGTTCATGTTTCCTGATGAAAGCTACAGGAAAGCTACACAGAATATTCTGGTGACCCACAGGAAGGTACGTGATAACATAATGCTGAAAAACCTGAAACCAAGGGATTTTCCCTTTGCTTCCATTTTTAAAACCTGGACATAAGGCTTGACTTTTTTTCATAATTTGTAAATAAATTTAAGTACCCCTACTTCAACAACAGAAAACAAGGAGTCATCTTTCTGACAGAGATGTATTTTAGGAGTGATATATGGGGTACAATAAATATACATGCTCCACAGCTTTGCTTACCATTTATCAGCAAAGAACAAAAATCTTCTTTAGCTCATACTTAGTTTTGTCTGTATATCAGAAGACAGACAAAGAAGAACTAGAAAGAGAGAAATGGAGAAGGTATAAGTGGAAGATGAAAGATTAATAATAATAAATGGGAGATTTGGAAGGGACAGGTATAGATGAAGGGAAAAGAGAATTGATATTCTAGGAGAAATGGAATTATCCTGGGAGGTACTGATTGACATGACAGACAGTATTTCTGGGTAACTTGTGTTAATAGGAGTTAGAAATTCATATAAATAAGGGACTCCTTAGTGCTCCTTAGAAGTATGAAAGTATCCAAATCACATGATATAAGTACAAAATATAAATCAAATTATGATTAGTTTTGAATGCCAAAAATCTATATTTCATTGGCACTGAATTTTGAATTTAATTCCCATGAAAAAAGCACTTTGTAAGCATCATGGTTTTGATAGAGAAATACATGATTTAACTGTGGTGTAGTTGTGCTATAATTATAAGTTGCATGCAAGGAATATTTTTTTAAAATTTCTGCATTGAAAGCTCAGGTATCAAACATAATTTGTAGTGCACTCTCCTTGCTCAAGTCTTTCTTTGGATGTTAATAAGAATAAAGCAATGCATTCAATATAGCTTAATATCTTGGAGGCATAGATTTTTCTTGACTGGCATATAGAAGTCCTTATGAAATACAGGGTGAAGTAATAACTAATGCTTTTTCATATTTGACTAAATAAATTTGATTAGATAAAGCTGCAGGGAAGTGTTGTTAATTTTTTATCGGTCTAAATAAAAACATCCGTAATTGTCACTCACAAGTAAAAGACTGATGCTATAAAACTGTGACTTGCAAATCATACAGCATCAGCAGCCACCCTACTATTAAAACAGAATGAGGCAAATGGCAAATGCTCAGGGGCATGGAACAGTAATGAAAAGTGAGAGTCTTATGTTCATCTACTCAGATGTTATGAAGAACGCTACTTACTCCTATACTATCTGAGAAACAAATATGGCTGGTTTAATAAGTTACATGTGTGTGCCCCTTCTTATTATTCTGGATTAGGTTCAAAGCATTGCTAGCCCTCCTGTACATCCTAATACTGGAATGAGAAGCTTTTTTGGTCAGCTTAATCATCTGTATGTGAACAGAATGTTGATCTTCAAGCAACAAAAGGCTTTGGGTTAGTCCTTCAAAAAGCAAAGAGCTAAATGTGAAATTAATCTCTTTACAGGCAAACACAGTACAAACTTCGTCAGCCGGTATGATCCTAGGTTTAACAGCTGGATACAACTTCCACCTATGCAAGAAAGGTAAAACTTACTAGATGTTTGGAAAGTGGTAGTGTCACAATGAACGGTAGTACTTTCTCTCAGACAGAGCAGCGAGAGAGAGAAATGAAATGCTATGGTTTTGTTTCTTAATAATAAGAAAAAAGAATCATTTTGAGTTATGAAATTAATGTTCTGTTTGGAAGCCTTAAAATATATAATTTCTACATTTCTTAACATTTGACTGTAGCATGTCATATAAAATCTAACATTGTTGTTTTCTCTTAAGATTGAAAAAAGTTATGATATTCATTCATGGCTTTTCTTAAATTCAGTATGGTTGGAAAATTGCCTTCCTAGGGCAGCTTAGGAACTGATAGGTCATATGCATTGACTGTTAAACCACAGCATCTGGATATCTGCTGTGGGGCTGAAGTTTCTGTATAATCAGGCAGAGAAAGTTGATTGAAGCATGCTAGCAATGAAGGGATTTCTTCTTTTGATCTGAACCTTATCAACCCATTTTTTAAATTGAAATATTTATATTGTTTATTTTATTCAAGCCCACCTGCTAACAAATGCACTTTAAATCAGTCCTGTATTATTCAAACTGATACTAAAGTACTGATATATCAAATAATTAAACTGTTACAAGGTTAGGTTCCAACAGTTTTAAAATACACCGCACAAATTAGTAAACGGAACAAACAAAGCATTGGTATTCAGCCATAGGAAATATAGTGTAAAGCCTTTGAACAAAGCAGTAAAAGCTGCACTTCCAAGCTTTCTGTTTGTTTGTTTATTTGCCATATGGAGTGAAAGCTAATTAGGGAACCCCTAAATTTAATGTGGCTGATTACATGGGTAGCTTGTAAATCAAGAGTTGCAATTTTAAGATGAAAGTCATAATTCGGATCTTAAGATACTGATGAACACTATATAAAGCATTTGGAGATACCCTTTAGCTAGGACATCCATAAAAACGGAAGATGTTCAGCTCATTATCCATTTGAATAAATCTACTTCTCCCAGCCTCACTGCCTCTAACTTAAAGCAGATTTAATGTCTGTACTGAGTATATTACATCTACAGATATATTGAGGTAGAGAACATCCTCAATATTTTCCTACAAGCCTAACTCATATTTCAGATATAAATAAAAGCACCAAAACCCTGCAATCTATTAAATATTGTGGGGTTTGTTGCTATTTTGGTAGGGTTTCATAGTAAGGTCATTGACCTTTACAGCATAGTCTATATAACTTTTAAAGTGTTTCAAGGCAAATTTTAAGCACCTAATAATTCTTTAACAAAAAAATATTATATAATCCTGCAGTTTTCTAACAGAATATCTGTGAACCTTCACATTTTTTTTTCAAAATTTTATTTATGTTCCTATTATCATATCTATAAGACAAGCCACTGAAGAAATACAATAATTTAAAAAATATAATCTAGTGGTTTAATGTTTTTGCTGTACATCTTTTAGAACAAAGACAGTTATGGGTGAAAGAGGACAATTTCAATGGCTTCCAAATTGTCTAGCAAAATAGCATATAGACAAGCTTCCCCTCATCACTGGTCTATAGTACATAGACAGGGAAGCATGTGGACATAATTTGGATTTTTTTTCTAAAAAGCAAGACTTGGAAGAATCAGAGGTTCTTCCAAGTTTTGCTTTTTGGAAGAAGCCTTGTTGGGAGGTGTCACTCTGTATGCTTTTGATAATTGTAGTGCCTAGAAGATTGACATAGCTAAAAAGCAATCTTAGCTTCTCTTGGAAAGAACATTCTCATATCCTGGCAGGGCTTGGCTACTATATCAAGGTTGTAGCCTGATGGTAATGTGAGACACAGTATCACAAAGATTCACAGACTACAGAGGAAGACACAATGAGGGCACAACAAAAGATGAAATTGCAGTATTGCTACGCCCTTATTTTACAACAGCAAACGTTTGGCCAGCAACTGAATTAGCCTGGTATCTATTCACTTAATCTCAAGAGACATGTTGCAGCCATGTAAACTTTAAAACTACCAGTAAGAGCAGTTTGAATCCATATTCAGAATACTGAAGGCTAAATTTAATTTCCAGTTACAGTATATTACATTTCAGAAATGTAGCATTAATTTGTACAAACTATATTAAAGCTTGTGGCGTATTTGAAAAATGTAACAGAAAATGTTAATATTGCCACTCCAAGGAAACTCTGATAATGAAAGAGTTTAGTACAGGATTAAATTGTTTGGCAGTTGTCAAATATCAAAGTGTCCATATCACGCATCACCCTCTTTCATACAAAACAGTAGGAAATTAGGAGTCTTTGGTGCTTTCTGTGTTTGGTTGTTTTCTTGCAGACATTTCATTACCCAAACTAGATAACATCAACATGCATCAACAATAGGAAATTCATTCAATCTGGAAAGCTCTGGAAGGAAGCATTGTTACCTCCCACTGGGAGTTACCTTTTTTAATTTTCAGCTTGTTTCATCTCATGAATCTCCTTTATGGAGAAATTCTTGTTTCACTTCATGGATCTCCTTTGTGGGATTATTGAGTCAAAACTTCATCAAATCAAAATGTTTCTTCAAGACCTAATATCTGCTTCAAATGCTCTACTATCATCCCAATGCCAAAGAAGTCCTCCATCAAGGAACTGAATGACTACAGACCAGTTGCTCTAACATCTGTAGTTATGAAAATCTTTGAAAGGCTAGTGCTGTCCCACCTGAAAACCATCATGGATCCGCTGTTAGATCCCATGCACTTTGCATACTGAGCAAATAGATTGACAGATGATGCTGTTAGTATGGCTCTGCACTACATCCTGCAACACCTTGAATCTCCAAATACTTACACAAGGGTCCTCTTTGTAGACTTCAGTTCAGCATTCAATACCATCATTCCAGACATTCTTCTAACTAAATTAAACCAGCTAGTAGTACCTGAACACACAGGTGAAGCTAGGCAAAATCACATCTGATACCTGTACAATTAACACAGGGGCTCCCCAAGGCTGTGTGCTTTCTCCACTTCTCTTCTCCCTATGTACCAGTGACTGCATCTCAAACAATCCATCTGTTAAAATACTGAAGTTTGCTGATGACACAACAGTGATTGGTCTCATTCGAGACAACAGTGAATCTGCATACAGACAGGAGGTTGTACAACTTTCCTCATGGTGTAACCGGAACAATCTGGAACTGAACACACTCAATATGATTTGATTGCTTATTGTACCCTATGACTATTATTAAGTGTTGTACCTTATGATTCTTGACTCTTGATGAATATATCTTTTCTTTTATGTATACTGAGAGCATTTGCACCAAGACAAATTCCTTGTGTTTCCAATCACACTTGGCCAATAAAGAGTTCTATTCTATTCTACTCTTTATTTTTTGTAGTAATGGGCTGAAATAGCATGATATATTGTTAAACAGAGATAATCTTAGGAAAAATCCAATGTAATTTGAATGGAAATCTACTTTTATTTCTATTATCTACATATTTGTTTACCTAGATTTCAAAATACCCAACTCCTAAAGTCCTTTAAAATTGTTTATATTTCTCTCTTCTCTCTCAATTCATACTAAAGTTCCATTCCACTCTGCTACCTACTATAAGGCACCTCTTCTGGTCATGTTCATTTAATATCAGTATGATTGTCACAAGGGCACACTGTAGTCTTCACATATTTCCTGAGTTTGATTGTATCAACACTTCTTTTTTTGTTCTAATCTGTAACTCAATTTTCAAATAGGCATTTGATTCAAATAGGTATTTTGTGACATAACCCTAATATGATTTGCATCACTTCCATCTCCTCAAACACACAGTCATTTTGTCTTCTCTGTCATTGAAAAGAATTACCACAACAGTTCTTATCCAGTTAACAATGATTACTTACAATTAGATTCATTCAGATATCACTGTTAGGGACTTTAATCTTATATTGCTTTGGAATAAAGGAAGGTATTAGTTTTAACAGAGAGGAGATAACTTGCTTACAAAAAGAATTGAGGTAGATTCAGTTTGTGGAACCATGTTAACTATTTACTTATGTTTTTGGAATCCAAAAGCCAAGAAGCTTTATAAACTACATTAATTACAAACAGTTCTCTATTGTGATTGCAACCCAGTTGTTGTGGTTCACTGGCAGCAGGTGCAGACAACAGAGGTCTCTGGTAGCAAGGATTTGGGTGAGGGGCCTGCGTGTGATGCAGGGATGGGGCCAGGACTATCTGGTGCTGCCTTTGGAGCTTGTGGAGTCTGGCAACAGTGATGCAGAGGACCCGGGGATCCTGTTCCCAGTGCATGCAGGGCTGCCGAAGGAAAGAGCAGCTGAAGCAGCAAGGGCAACTCAGGAGTAAGGCTGGAAGATGATGGCCCATCCCATAAGGGATTAAAACCAGCCCTCGGAGATGTGTTCTTTGCAGGAAGCAAAGAAGTTCTTTAGACTCATAGACCTCGTTGAATCCCTGCTTACTCCAATTTGTTTTTGAAACTTCTCTCAGTGGATTAGTCTTCTATTCTTGGCAGCCTTTTGCAACCTTGAAAGGACTTGCTTTTGATATCGGACAATTAGGTTTACATGTCTCTTGGCTGGGAATGCACTGAATTCCCAGCGCCGCATTAAAAAAGGTTTGCTTTTATACACAATTAGTGTCTGCTTAATTTGAACAAGGTTTGGGTCAGAACGCCAGTTGAAGGGTTGATAAACTTCTCCTATGTTTCTTTTCTTTTAAAAATTAAAGACCTATATGCCATTTGTCCATTGAATGTGCAGTACCTTGTAGAACTTTGGCTTAAGTACTATATGTTTTGCTTAAGCTAAGTGGCATTGATCAATTATTACTTGTTTTAAAAAACTAGTTTATAAAAGTTTCATGGAGAATTCTCAGTTGCCTTTACTGTTATAAGTGGTCACCCATTAGGGCTATGACTGCTGGTAAGATGTATCTATTCTTCTGGAGAAAAATGTCCCAATGCCAGTCTAAATGAATATGAACAACCTCTCCATGAATTCCCAGCTTAAAGTT